TGTCTGATGGTTGTCTCATGTCATATTTTGTTATGCTTTGCCTGATGTGACATTTTGTTTGGTTGTCTGTTATATTATGTTGTTTTCTGTCACGAGAAACAAGTGTCTTGGACGCAAGAAAATTTTCAGAAGTGATTCTGACAAATAAAAGTATTCATTCATTCATTCACAACACACTCACTGTCACACCAGCTTACATGACATATGCCCATATATGGGCAGTCAGAATGATAACTTGTTACAATTTTCAAGTGCAACGTCAGTAGGCTACTCTGTATTACAATTGTATTTATTGTAGGGGTGTAACGATTCATCTACTACATCGATGTATCGATTTATATTCCTATGATCCAACTACATCGATCTGTGCTTGGCAAGTTGGCCTTCCGGACGACATATATTGATCTAAAATCGTTTTAAAAGGTAATCAATACATTGTATCGATACCAGGAAATTACACATTGGATTTAAGCATGGCAAACTTTATATGGATGTGTTTTTTAGCACTTGTAATGATAAAGACACGTTAAATGTTACTCTATTCAGTCTACCTGTCTGTGACGTCATCGGCACGCGCCAGCAGCAGCGCGAATCTCAGAATGACAACAAAACGTAGCATGGCAGATGGAGGAGGAGAAGCTGTGGAGCCAGAAATGATCAAGCCACCATTGCAGTCCAGTGTGTGGAAACACTTTGGCTTTTGCAAAGACGGAGGTGTTCTAAATAAGTCGCTCGCTGTTTGTAGGATATGTAAAGGTAAAGTAAAATACCACGGCAACACGACAAATCTCTCCAACCACCTACTAAGGCGCAATGGGATTTCACACAACACAAACCGTCCAGGCACCTCTTGCAGCATTCCCGCTGCAGCAGCAGTGCAAGGTAACGTCGACTCTGCAGAAGCCTCAGGCCTCGCCAGCATGTTTAGTCAGAGACTAGGCCGAAACTCAGCTCGGGTGAAAAACATCACGGCAACAATTGCCAAGTTTATCTGTAAAGACATGCGACCCTACAGTGTGGTTGAAAATCCGGGGTTCTGTGAAATGATTCAAACATTGGAGCCACGGTACCAGATACCGAGCGGACCACACTTCTCAGAAAAGGTTATTCTTGCATTGTACGAAAGTACTAAGAATGATGTGAAGCTGTCGCTTTCTCAAGCTGAATGAGTAGCGATAACGACGGATGGCTGGACGTCATGCTCAAATCAAGGTTATGTGACAATTACCTCTCATCACACTGATCCGGAGTGGAACATGAAGACCTTTGTTCTGCAAACCAGAGTCTTAAACGAAGCCCATACTGGTAAAAATATTGGCGAGTTACTGCGTGAAACCTGCACGGAGTGAAAAATGATTGTGGCCGGTGCAGAAACCCAGTTCAGTCCGCACATTACCTGCTTCGCACATATGCTCAACCTAGCCTCACAGAAGGGTTTGGGGGTGGACCGTGCTTCCAGGTTGTTGAGGAAAGTGCGAAAAACTGTTGGATATTTTCACCGCAGCCCGATTGCACATCACGTTCTACAGGAAAAACAAAATATGATGGATTTACCACAGCATAAACTGATCCAAGACATAATCACCAGATGAACAGTTCATTCGACATGCTTGAACGTTTTATGGAACAGCAGCCAGCTGTAATGGCAACTCTGAGTGAGAGTGATATTTCCAACATGGAGGACACTGTTCAGTTGATGGGTCCTATCAAAATGGCACCCACTGTGATGTGTGAAGAAAACCAGCCAACTCTCTCTGTAATTGCTCCTCTTCAAGCAAAACTGCTGAAACACCTACAGCCATGCGAAGACAACTCAACCCTGGTTGCTGAGATTAAGAGGGTGATGGCCGATAACCTCTCCAGACGCTACAGAGGCACCCAAGATGCTCTCAACATAGGTAATTCATTTGGATTCTCAATTAAAATCAACCTTGGTTAACATTTTAGGTTGTTAGACTGTATTAATTTGTGAAATGCCACACCTTTGCATTTTCAAGTTTGAATTTGAGTTGAGTTAGGGTTAGGGTTTTTCATATGGAAAAGTAAACAAGATATCTGCAATAAAATTCTTAGTTCATGGTGGCTTTACCTCATTGCTGTGCTACATTTCTTAAAAAAAAAAAAAAAAGTTTAATCTGCTGATTATTTTGTGTATGAGGAGGTGATCATCACTTGCTATGTCAGGTCAACTTAATTCAATAATGCAATGCAACACTCTCGTTCTTTAAACAGCATCAGCATTGGACTTGCGATTTCAAGAACTGCCCTACCTGGAAAAAGAGGACAGAGAACAGGTCTACGCAAAACTGGTTCTTGAGGCAGAAGTGTTCCACCAGGTAACTCTTCTCTTCTCTCCTCTCTCCTCTCTCCTCTCTCCTCCTCTCCCCTCTCCTCTTTCCTCTGCTCTGTGATCTTCTCCACTTTCATTTGTCCTCTCTCAACTCTCACCTGTTCTTTACCATCCTCTAAATTTCTGTGTGCAGTCTTACAGAGCAGACATTTTAACAGTTCACACATTCTTACATCCATAGATGCCTGCAATGGGAAATCAGGAGGAAGGCGAGGGAGGCTCAAGCACAAAGCTGTCAGGATCCCAGGAAGAGACCACAGGTGTGTTTCATGTGATACCAATAAAAGATTGTTGTTTTGTATTAATGAGAAATGAGAAACATGACTATATTTTGAAATACATTTCTTATCATATTGCAGCTCCAAATGAGTCACCTCCTTGTAAGAAGAAAGCCTTAGATGCACTGTTTGGCGATTCCTTCACCCAAAGAGAAAGAAAATCCACACGCGAGACAGCCAGAGCAGAGGTGATAAGGTACCAAGCGAAAGATGCATTGCCTTTGACTGAAAATGCTGAAGTGGTGGAGATCTCAGGAGAAAGAGCTACCACTACTTTCAACCCTTGCTAAACAGTACCTGTGTATCCCAGGCACCAGTGTGCCAGCAGAGTGAGTTTTTAGTACTGCTGGCGACAAAGTGAATGCACAGAGAAGTGTTCTGCGGCCAGATCATGTGGTTCAGTTGATGCTTTTGAAAAAAAAATCTGTAGACTCGTTGAAGAGTAGTTGGTTACATTTGATCTTTTGTTAAATATTAGTGCACTGCTGTTTGTTTATTAAAATGAGAGTAGTAGCAGGTTCAAACACTGCTCATTTAACCTGAATAGAAGTTGGGTGCACTTTATAATTGTACTCTTTTTATGTTGAAAACAACAGCAGAATAGCAGGTAAACCTACTATCAATTCAACCTGAAGAAATATTGGTTGCACTTTATTTTTAATATTAATATTGTTTGTATTATTTTTATGTTGAAAAACAACAGCAGAAGTACAGTAGCAGGTAAACTTACTATTAATTCAACCTGAAGAAATGTTGGTTGCACTTTATTTTTGAGCTCAATATTGTATTTTTATGTTAAACAACAGCAGAAGTAGCAGGTAAACCCACTGTTAATTCAACCTGAAAAAAATGTTGGTTGCACTTTATTTTTGATATCAATATTGCATTTTTATGTTAAACAACAGCAAAAGTAGCAGGTAAACCTATGTTAATTCAACCTAAAGAAATGTTGGTTGCATTTACTGTACTCTTTTTATATTGAAAATGAAAGCAGAAAAGGTTAACCTGCTGTTAATTCAATTCAATAAAAGGTGAATGCATTTGCATTTAATTGACGTTTACTTGTTTGTTTATATCCATAATTAATTTATACCTGATTCCCTTACACGAAACAACAGGAATCTTGGAAACTTCACCTGCACTGTCCAGTATCTAGGTATTTATTTCACATTGGTTGAATTTTTGGCTAAAAAGTTACTGAATCGATTTCAAGTCACTGAATCGTTCCGGATCGTATCGTTCTAAATGAACCAATATCGTCCTTGAATCGTATCGGCAACCACGGATTGTGATACGAATCGAAGTTAAAACGAATCGTTACACCCCTAATTTATTGTGCATACTGGTGGCCAGCACCGAGTCACCACGTTTTACTTAGTCTTGTAGTAAGTATGGATATCAGACAATTTTTGGGAAAAAAACAAAAAGGCAGCAGGAGGAGAGAAAGTAGGAGAGTCATCATCACATGTCGGTCTACCAGGATGTACCATGTTTTATCGGCAGAATAAACTTTTCACGGCTAAACAACAAAGGTAGAGAAATTTTACAACTATCGTTCAGCAAAACGATTTCTATTGTTGTTATTCTTTTGCCTCTATCTCTCTGATGCTTTGGTGTAGCATGCTTTAGCTATGTGTGGAAACGGCGGAGTCTCTGCTTTCATTTGAGGGGTCTGCTGTGTGTTTTGCATAACGTGGTGTCGAGTAAGAGCCTGAAATATGCCCAGTGGGTCAGCACATCGGTGCTGTGTGGAGTTTGATTTGTTGTTATTTATTTAGTTGTTGTTTGAGTTGTGTCTGGGGCATGTAAAAAGGGTTTATACAGCCTTGTAGCCAGGGTTCTGCTGTTTAATTTGATGTGCAACATCACTATATTCTTTGTGATTAGTGCATCACTGTGTTTGCAAAGTCGTTCCCAATTAGGGGACTTTCGGGTTTAACTTTAATTTTGTTTTCAACTCCTAGTGACGCCCCTGCCGTTGCAGAATGGCACATTGCAAGTAATGACCTGTTTCACCTGGTCTCGTTGTGAATCTTTGGTCTGAACTGAGCTTTACCAACATGTCCTGTAAGTTCTTCTGTTACACGTCTGCAACTATGACTTTTTCTGAAAAATCTACCTGCCAGGACGCTCAGAATTTTTTTGAAAACTTGTCTCCATGTGTCTAGATAAAACAACATTTAGATTTTCAGATCTCCAAGAACAAGTGGAAATGCTGCACAGCCCCAGAGCCTTTCTAATGTGTGAACTGAGCAGTGACCTGATTATCTTTGGCAGAGGTATGGGGGATGCACTTGTAACCTTAGACTTAGGTTAATTGGTTAATTCTCTAATTGGCTGTGTGTGTGGTCCTTCTTTTTTCAGGGACTCACATTCCATCTCTTGGCCCAAGTAGGAGCACCAGCGGTTCCTCATGTCCTCCACTGCCAACAGGTCCCTCTCAGTGTCATGGTTCAGCAGCAGAGGGATGCAGGGCACCACCAGCTCGTTCATGATGCCGAGACCTGTTGACACATCCGGTTCTTCTCCTGACTCAAACATGGCAGCCGCTTGCTCATTCAGTTTCTATGGGGAGAGACACAGATCAATCTTTAATACATGAGATTATATGAGTTACTTGAACAACTTTGTCATACATTGATTCATTCATTCAACATTAATCCTCCCCAACAAAACTGAGAGAGATGCAACTCAAACACTCACCCAGTTCATATGAATGAATTTTGTAATTCCTATCATTATTCTTCGTCTTACTTTGATTTAGGGACGATGCTCCAAGATTTGGAACCATAGCTCCTCTTTACAGTTTGACAACTTCTGCTGACTCAAGTATTAAAGCTGGGGTAGGCGGTTTTATTTTGGTGTCATAAGGCAAAAATTCCATAATCATTTTTAAGCATATTGTAATTCAGTGGTAGCAGTGGTGAGGCCTAGCAGCTTTACTACAACCAAAATTAGCTACAGCCAACACAGGGAAAATACCCCAAGAATCACCAAGAGCTGGGGTGGAAAATGACTCACAGGTGGATTACACGGTAACAGACATTGGAACAGACACGACTATGCATCGGATCTGTGACTCAGTGAAGGATAGGGGCACGGACCTATCCACCAGGGCTAGAATTAGCAGCACTCAGGGCAAGGCGAGTGCATCTGTAGAGAAAAAAAGTAGCACAGTAGAGAACAAGATGCTTCAGATTTGTCCTTAAGGCTGGCAGAAAGTAACATCAGTAAAAGGCCTCAGAACTCATCAGGGAAAGAAGAAGTGTGTGGCAAAGAAAGGGCAGAGTAGCCGCATTGATCAGTACTTCCTAAGAAGTCAGTCGAGTCAGTCGAATGAAGTTCAGCGACAGGTAGAAAACCACAGTTCACAGGATATCAGTAACACTGCCACTGAAGAGGAGGAGGAGGAGGAGGGGGTAGTAAGAGAGGATGCAGGTGACACTGAGGTTAGTATGCCAGTCAGAGAGAGAACCATGGAGCAAAAGGTTAGAGTTAGATGGCCTAGGGCAAATGACAGTAAAGAATGGGAGATAGTTAAAAGAAATTTGACAATAATCTTAAGAAGACTTAGAGGAAATGCAATAAAAAAGTTAGAAAAGATGGGAGATATAATTTACTCATATGGTGCAGAGTGGTTTGGGGTGCATGAGAGAAAGAGGGGTGAGAGGGTAGAAATAGAGAAGTTAGTTAAGGAAAGGAGACAGTTAAGAAAGCAGTGGAAAAAGGCTACAGAAGAAGAAAGGGAGGGAAGTAATGTGTTGCAAGAGGAATTGAGAAGCAGGCTAGCAGTTCTTAGAAGGGCAGAGCATCTCAGGAAAAAGAGGAGGAAGAAGGAACATGTAAGGATGGGTTTTTTCAGGGACCCTTTTAAGTTTGTTAAAGGATTGTTCAACCAGGAAAAGGGAGGGCAGCATAAAGCAGAAAGGCTACAGGTTGAAGAATATTTGGGAAATACATATTTAGATTTAGAGAAGAATAGGATAGTAGGTTTTCCACCGGATATCCCTCCCTCCCTCCCACCATATCACGTGAAACAGCGAAATTGTAGCTTTCTGACAAGACCAAGCACTTGTCGGTAGTCCAATGTTTTCATAGCGAAAAAAAAAATGATAAAGTTACACTAAAATGACGAATAACAGAGCTTTCATACAGCTTTGCACACACATTACTGTTGGATGGATTACTCGCGAATGCAGGCTTGCAACGAAATGCCACGCATATCACATGAAAGCGCAGGAGCAGAGCTTTCCAGTGATGCCACACACATCATTGTGCTGTCATCCCATCACGCTATAAATCCAGATTTATTGTCTACAAAATAAAAACCTGACGAATTTCTTTACAATCCATTATACAGATCTTGTTATCAGTAACTTCATATAGTGAGGAATATCGTATCTTACCACGTCTTAGGCTTGCGTGTGTTTCTCCCTGTCTATCCACATTTGTAGTCCAGCTTTCAAGATGCAAATATCTCCATATTGTCCAGTTGACACTCCATCAAACTTTGTATGACAAGACCAGCACACTTCACCTTTGCGCACCCAGACAACTGCAGCCTAATTATGCATGCTGACAGGGCAGTAGTCACCATATACATTGAGGGGGACATGTGTGTCCCCCAATGCCCAAAATGCCCCCCCAATATATAACTGAAACTGAAAAACAACAACAAACTTTGTTTACTGCAAACAAAGTGGCAAATATTATCTTGGAGGACATCACTGCACTTGGTTGACTATTTTTCTATTATGTTAGATGTAAACATTGCATGTTTCTTTCAGATACAACACATTTTTGACTTGTGAATGAGTCAATGGAATTTCTTGCAATAATGAAAAAATACTGGCAATCATTTTCCGCCTGGCACAAACCACGTTTTGGACAGCTGTGAAGTGACAGAATGTCCCACCATCATGGTTCTTATATTGCCAGATTCCAGAGAGTCTCCCCTCTTCATATATGGCAGAATATGTCTTCTTCCAACTTGCTATGCTGAGATACATGTAAAAATGTAAGAATTTAGTCACATGGATTTGTTTTTTTCATTGATATAAAAATTAATATAAAATACAGGCACATAGAAGCAAATCTGGATAGCCCTGATTGACCTGAAAAAAACAAGATATAGCATGTGTATCTAGCCTTTATAATGACTGTGATATGAGCTTAAAAGTAAAGGCATTAAAAATACCCCAAAAACGCCTAGGGCCCATAGGGTTAATAGATACTATGGTGCAGAAGGCAGGAATACCAGGTTTTGCAGGGTGTTTAGAGCATACTAGCAGGATCTGGCACCAGATTCAGGCAGCAAAGCTTAAAACAAAAAGGCACCTGTATGTAATATTTTTAGATCTTGCAAATGCGTTTGGTTCAGTACTGCATAAGCCTCATTTGGAGTGCGTTTGAATACTTCAAAGTGCCATAGGTAGTTGTTAACTTAGTGAAAGCATATTTTCTAGGCATCATGGCAGGATGTACAATTTCTCCATTAGCATTTACTATGGCAATGGAAGTAATCTTCAGGGCTTCTAAGTGCGTGATAGGTGGGGAGAGACAGCAGAACGGGTTGCATCTTCCACCAGTTAGGGCTTACATGGATGACATGACACTGGTGACTACAACAATGCCATGTACAAAGAGGCTACTAGAGAAGGTAAATAAGAACCTCAAGTGGGCCAGCATGAAGATCAAACCTGGTAAGTCTAGAAGCATCTCGATACGTAGAGGAAAGTTAAGTGACAGGAAGTTTTTCGTAGATGATGAGGAAATCCCAACAATTAGGGAAAAGTCAGTAAAGAGCTTAGGTAGGTGGCCTTTTGGAGGTGCTGACGTATTGCGGTAAGCGTGTTGTGTCATTTCCGGTGTTTTCTGTGACAGCGTCTCTGTGCTGCTCTAGTGAATTCTACTAGCTTGTTTTCTGCTTTCCTCACTTCAGTTGCTTAACATCTAATTCAAGTCTTAACCCACACTAGTTCTGTTTAAGCACTCATAGCTCTCCTCCTTTTTATGATTTTCTTGCTTTCTCTTAGCTGTTGTTTGCACGTTATTAGCCGTGTTAGCTACATTAGCTTAATAGTTAGCAATGGCTTCTCCTTCTCCTGCTCTTTCTTGCTTGGTGTGCCAAATGTTCAGTTATGCCTCTGCCTCCTTTAGCGACAGTGGTAACTGTAACAAGTGTAGTTTATTTGCTGCATATCTAGAAACCTGGCAAAGTTTATTAGTAATTCAAAACTCTGACAACCCAGAGTTGAGATCAGGACTCAGAGTTGAAGTCTTATTCACTTCTCTGAGCTTCTAGTGCAGTTACCCACCCATAGTTCTATACAAACGGTGTCTGTCCCCCGACCACCTAAATTATCTAAATCTTAAATTAAACAAAGAGGAGATGTGCATAAAAACCTCATAAAAATTAAAACCTCTTCTGTGACAGAAAGACAAAACAGGAGAATTAAATGCGGACTGTTAAATATCAGGTCTCTATCATCTAAAGCAGTGTTAGTAAACAAATTAATATCACATAATCATATTGATTTACTCAGTCTTACTGAAACCTGGCTGTTTCAAGATGAATATGTCAGTTTAAATGAATCCACTCCTCCCAGTTATAATAATACCCACATTCCTCGAGGCAGCGGCCGAGGAGGGGGAGTTGCAGCCATTTTTAACTGTAGTCTGTTAATCAGCCCTAAACCTAAACTAGATTATAATTCATTTGAAAGCCTCGTTCTTAGTCTTTTACATCCGACCTGGAAAATCTCGCAGCCACTTATATTTGTTATAGTGTACCGTGCTCCTGGCCCGTATTCTGAATTTGTATCTGAATTCTCATTTTATCCAGTTTAGTTCTTCATTCATTCATTCATCTTCTAACCGCTTCATCCTCTTGAGGGTGGCGGGGGGGCTGGAGCCTATCCCAGCTGACATCGGGCGAGAGGCAGGGTACACCCTGGACAGGTCGCCAGACTATCGCAGGGCTGACACATAGAGACAGACAACCACTCACGCTCACATTCACACCTACGGACAATTTAGAGTTATCAATTAACCTAATCCCCAATCTGCATGTCTTTGGACTGTGGGAGGAAGCCGGAGTGCCCGGAGAGAACCCACGCTGACACGGGGAGAACATACAAACTCCGCACAGAAGGGCTCCAACACCGGGAACCGGGAACCCTCTTGCTGTGAGGCGACAGTGCTAACCACCACACCACCGTGCCGCCCCGCCAGTTTAGTTCTTAAATCAGATAAAGTTAATATTGCAGGCGATTTTAACATTCATGTTGACGTTGATAATGACTCCCTGGCTACCGCATTTATCTCATTATTAGACTCTAATGGCTTCAGTCAGGGTGTACATAAACCCACTCACTGATTTAACCATACCCTCGATCTAGTCCTGACGTATGGAATTGAAATTGATAACCTAACTGTCTTTCCACAGAATCCCTCTCTATCAGATCATTATTTAATAACTTTTGATTTCTTTTTACTCGATTACACGCCACTCAGCAACAGTTACTATACTAGATGTTTATCAGATAGTGCTGTCGCAAAATTTA